ATGCTGCTTGCCTGAGAGGAAAGGTTGGTCTGCGGCCGTTTGCAGAGCTTCAGAAAGACAAACGTGAACCACTTGAAGTCCACAAAGAGGATGACCGGCGCAAACAGAGCAGTGAACGGGCAAAAAGGCTGCACACAACACGCACACATCACACCGCACACAGAGAGAAGTAGGTCGGAGAAAAGAAGTCGGTGATAAAAAAATCGTTGTAGGTATTTTCGCACTACCCACCACCAGTCACAGAATAGGTCTATCAGTCGTATGTGGGCCTACAGGTGGCCGACAAGGGTCATCCTACGGTCAAAAGTGGCAGAATGGTGACATTTTTTTGCGCTTGCGTAGCGTCGTCAGTTTTGCTGACCTGCCCCTCTCTCTTGGCACGTGTGCGGTCCATGAGCTGATGCACTCGACCCGTGTCTTGGATGGGCCGGGCCGCACCCACAGAGCGAAACACGGGCCTGCAGAGATGACACTCACACACAGAGGGGGTCAGTCAGAAGAACCTCAGAGAGCACCACTCGACGGCTGTGCGTACCCGGCTGGATGCCCTGGTCAATCTATTGCCCACAAATCAATCTCCCGTAGACAGACGCACTCGTGGCTGCGCTGCACATGGGTCAAAACACCCCACGCACAGAACGATGTCTGGGAGTGCACGCCAAGGCACCGTTTCGCAAGAGCCAATCGGCGCATAGCAAAGCCCTCAGCGAGGGAAATCCTCTGACACCTGAATGAGCCTCCGGGTCTTGGCGCAACCAACACGGCCATCTCGGCCTGCACACACAGACAGACCGACACAGAGAGAGATGTCAGCTGATTTGATCTTCTGGCTGCTCCTGGCTGCGTATGTGGCCTTCCTGTGAGCCTCTCTGCTGCTGATCTGTGCGTTTGGTGCGTTGGCGCCTTCCCTTTCACACGTCTAAGCTCGCATTTTGCCGATCGCTGGAGGGGGGCTTTCTCCCATTGCAGGGGGGCGGCGAGGCGGCTGATGTGCGCATTTAAACCCTAGTTATGCGTAGGGTTTGCGAATTTCGTGAATGCACGTGTGCAGGAGTGCGCAGCACACAGGCAGGCACCTTCCCACACACGGAGGTGAGCAGGTTGTTCAGAGAGGGAGGGCGGGAGGGGCCTGTCTGTCTGTCTGTCTGTCTGTCTGTCTGTATGTATGTCTGCCTGTGTGTGTGTGTGTGTGTGTGTGTGTGTGTGGCAGATAGACAGCCTCACAAGGCAGACATTCAGCCATGCGAAGCGAAATTCATATGGACGGCTTCAATCAAAGAGACTTTAAAATGCCATTCCTTTGCTGTTGAGCTGCAATGCATTCACATAATTAATGCTTTCACCATCCATGCGGAGCCACGTCCATGCAGTGTCCAACACGACAGACATACTGCAACTCTTATGGCTCCGCCCTGTTGTCGCTTTGCGCTGCTCTGTCCGCATCAATGCGCACCGACTTCCGTGGGACGGCCACGGACGATGCTCGACTGTGCACCGAAGGTGTGGGCGCGAAGCTTGTTTCGCCCTCTGAGCCCTCAGATTGCATCTCCTCTCTCGCACGGGCAAACCTGACAAGCAATACACTCACAGAGAGACATGACACCAGCAGCAGTGGTCGATAGCTCTCTCACCGTTTCTTGAGAACGGAGAGCTGCTTGGACAGCTTGGTCACTTCCTTTTGCAGCACCTGCAGAGGAAAGAACAGACAGACACGTAATGGTTGGACTGCCATGCACTCCTCCAGCCGTACGTACCTCGATTTGTCTGCTGCTGAAGAGGTGCTGGTCCAGGAGGTAAGTGCGGTATGCGTTGATCTTGTTGAGCTGAAACACCAGCAGCAGAATCAGCACTGCCGCGAGAGCAGTGTACAGAATCACACTCGTCAGGATCGTCCACAACAGCGGAAAACTGAAAAACAAAGGAGGAGAAGCGATGCACACACAGTGGCGCAGGCACGAGGGAGACGGAGGCACGGGGCCCACCCTGTCTTGAAGGCGTTCTCCATGACTGCGATCGCGCGAGTGCCTGACGAATGCACACACACACACACACACACACAGAGAGAGAGAGAGAGAGAGAGAAGCGAGAAGCGAGAGAAGCGAGATGGTGCGTCTGACGAATGGCGTGGGTGTTTGGCTGTCAGAGCCGTGATCGCTTACGTGTGTCAAATGGGCCGCAGCCCTCTTCATGTGGGAACTCCAGTGAGAGGAAGAAATAGGTCAGCACGCCAAACAGCACACACGAGAGAGCGAACAGACGCATGATGAATACACCAATGTCCTGCACGCACCATGAGAGAGAGAGAGAGAGACGATCGGGTATCATGTACCCCCCGTTGATATGCTGCTTGCCTGAGAGGAAAGGTTGGTCTGCGGCCGTTTGCAGAGCTTCAGAAAGACAAACGTGAACCACTT